TTACAATTCGTCCCTATTACTACTTGACATACCCCTTGGAGTTCAATATTTATATATTTGGCATGTTTAGATACAAGTTTTTGAGTTTATTTATAATAATTTTTTAAATTTTTTTTTAGGTTTTTTTCAAACTTTTAGAGTTAAAATAATAACCTTTTTTAAGTTCTAAATTTTAAGGGTACTTAGGTTGATGTTAAAATTATTAAGACGATCTCAAGTACCCTAAAAATTATAAATGACATTCAATATTTATTAAAAAAATGATGTGACAAAATTTTAATATTTAGTCGGGTATTGTTGAACTATTTATGGCTCATTTGGTTGTTGTATTAAAAATAGATGGATTGAATAAAATAATACAGTCTAATACAATATAAATGAATAAAAAACAAGATTAAATATAATATTAAAATAATACATAATTATATCTAGTGTTTAGCAATACACAATATAAATGTTGAATAATAATTATTTAATAAAATCGATTGATTAATTAGAGAATTATTTCATCGTATTAATGTTGAATTAATAAAAATACCCTTAATTAGTATTTGTTATATTAATAACAATTTAATTTTATCACTTAGGGAATTATAATAATAAATGTGTAGAATAATACGTTTGAGTTGAATTATAATGCCACATCTCTTGATGGTATTAAAAGACATCCATAATATCGATTTTATTAAATAAAAAATAATACAATTTAATATTTAATACGTCTATCAAACGTGTTCTTATTTTTTAAAGAGTTGAGGAACTTTCATAGATAACAATTTTGATCAAAATATTTGATACTAACATGACTCATCTGATTTTGAACCCCTTTTAAATAATAAACTACATTTTATGTATAAATATAAAATCTTAAAACATAAAAATTTAAAAGAGAAAACTCCAAACCTTAAATTCTTCGTCGCCTTCTATTGCTCCATGCCTCCACCCAAAATTGGTAGAGGCGAAATCGTCTCTCTCTCCCTCTCTCAGTCCATGATTCTATAGCCACACCCAAATCTTTAATGCTCCGTTTGGTATGATGAAAATTAGAGAGATAAATAAAATATTATGTTTGATAAGAAAAGAATATAGGAAGAATGAAAAAGTGGATGAATTAACTTTCTTTCCAACTTACCAAAATTAATTGCGCCAAAATTGGATAAAAAACTAATTATTTGTGTTGAGATATATCTTAATTGTCTATATATCTTTTTATATATGCATATATTATGTATACATTAATTTTATATAAAAATACAATGATAAAATATGTAATTAGATATATATATTTTTAAAAAAATTTAAAAATTAAAAATTAAAATTAAAATTCAAAATTCAAAAAAAAAAAATACATTTTTTCCATATTAGTTAGGAGTGATGACACGACTCGAAGTTGACACGAATTTTATGACACAAACTTGATTATAACTCGATACAAACTTGAAAATGACCTGACACGCGAATAAGAAATATAAAAGGCTCATATTTAGTTCAACATGTCAAACTCAAAATTGACATCATCAACTTATTTATTTAAAAATAAACACTTTTTCTATTTTCTCGTTTGTATGATAACACAAAACTAACATGTTTCATTAATATTATAAACATAAAATGTTAATTATTTGTAACTATTTATTAATCACTGACATAATTATTATACAAAAATATATTTATACTTATTATTATTATTTAAGTTAATTTTTAGTTTATAGAAAAAATATTAACATGGTTTCCATTAAGCGAAAATAGAATATTAACATTAAATTTTTTATTCAAAATTTATGTAGGTCAATACGAATACGAGCACAAATAGGATACGAAAATAAATATGTCAACTCGACATGACATAATTAGTTAAATAAGTTAAATTATGTTTGACTAATGTTCGACACAAACTCGTAATAATTCAACACAAATATGACACGATATAACTCGATTGTCACTCCTAATTTTATCTAGTACAAAAAAAATAAATTAATTATTTTTATTTTTCAGCCATCTTACCAAACACAAAGGAAGAAAAATGTATCATTTTTATTTTCCTTCCTTAAAGGATAAAAAATGTATCACTTCTACTTTTTCATATTTCTTATTTTCCAGTATTTCTACCAAATGAAGCATAAATCATAACTTCGCAACGAAAGCCTTGGTGAGGAAGCTTCCAACAGTGACTTCGCAACGAGTAGCTTTTAGCAGCGAAAGCTTTAGAGACTCGAAATTCTCTCAGTCCAATAAGAGTAACTTCCATCTCTCTCATTGTAGCTTCGATCTACTTCGATCTGCTTCCATGACTATGAGTTGAGGTACTTCTTTATTATTATTGTTTTGTGAGGATATGTGCACAGGATAATTCTTACAATACTATGAGATAACAATCTCCAAACTAGCGAACCTTAAACAACAGGGTCAGAAAAAGGGGGTCAGGCGAATGTCCGACTAATCCCCTCCGAAGTTTAAGTCAGTATAAAGTCGAAGAATTTTGCACAATAGACTATTTTTCTGATTCAAGTTTGCGTATTTTTGTCTATTTTTTTGAGGAGTATTTATACCTGAACTAACAATGATTGTCAAAGATCTCCAGTCTCATCTGAACATTTTACATCTGACACATCATTTCTCGTGCAATGAGTGTTTTCTGCTCACGTCTCCTATTGAATATTAGGAAAATGGGGTAAATGCTTGACCAAATGCCGAGCATTCATGCCACTCTCCGAGTACCCAAATCCCCCAGATCGGCATTTGACATTAATTAAGCATTGAATACTCGGGGGGAACAGTTCCTCGGGGGAGCCGATCTTGTCATTTTGGTGCATCAGCCATTAATGCTTAGCCATCATGACAGTAGACTTAGACTCCCAGAGGGCAGGTGCTGGCAGACTCACATTTATTTGCCTTATCACTTTCACTCATTCCGCCATAAATGAAGGGTCACATCGCATTAAATACAATACCAGCTGTCGTACCTGGCTGCTCAGTGTCACCATACTTCAGCTTACTTCCTCGGCGTCCTTTGGACATCCCAACGGCTTCATTATTCCATGTGTCGACTCGGGGGTTGTAGAGCTACCTAGAGTCCCCCCAATATGCTTTGGTGTTATATCTTTGTGTCTATGAGGCTTCGATTCTTTGCAAAAATCCTTCATTTTGCTAAATTTGCAAAGTTTCCAACAGGTTTCAATTTCTATTTTTCCCCATCAGCTTCGATTCTAGGTTTTGGTCCCATCAAGTATGAATTGGGTATTACTCAATTGAATTCTAATTGTGAATTTCTCTATAAATCTCTATGCTTCTCAATCGGCGCCCCACCATTACTGTTTTCATGTTGAAATTGATATCAAAATAAAAAATCTGTGTGAAGATAGAAAGAGATAGAGAGAGGAGAAATTGACTATTTAAATGATGTTGGTGGAGCCATGCTTGTGGCATTGGTGTTGGGTAGAGGAGGCATGGGAAGGGTTGTGTTCAAGTAGGTTTCGGCAATGGGAATGAGGAATCAGATCCACACACACACACACACACAAGGTTAAATGACTCCCTTACCCTTAAGACTTTCTCACATGTTGCTCACGTGTTCTTTTTCGTCAATTTTTTGGACGATAATTAAGGGTAAGGACCAAAGTGAATCCACGTATTAATATAAAGGATGAAATTGACGAAATTAAAATTTTAATAAAAAAAGTACAATAAGTATCAAATATCAAGGACTAACGATGCAATTTATCCTTTATTTTAAACATTTATGTCATGTGAGTGACACACTTTACCAGTTTTTATTAAAAAATTTAAGATAGGCGGACAAAAAGACTCAATTGATATAATAAGAGTTCAGGGACTCAATTGACTCAAAAAAAAAAATTCAAGAATTTAATTGATACAAGAATCGTAATTTGAGGATTATATGTATAATTTACTTTTAACTCTTTTCTCACGAGACTTGGGCCCTATAAAAATTCAAACAAAAGCACTTTTTTTTTCTTGCTTGGGAAAAAATAAGTGAGAGTAAAGGAGAGCACCTAAAGATCACATTAATAGGCCTTCATTAATGAAATTATGAGACTCCTGAATGCGTTTGTTACTCTTTTAGGGACTGAACCTAGCTAGACTAGTATGACGGTCATCTACCAAGCTTCAATGTGAACTCTAAAACTCGAATCTCGAACCTCAAAGTGAAAAGTTTGACTGGTATCCCCACTAGACCATCCCATTTAGGGGTCGTTTGGTTGTTATATATAAGGGGTATTAAAAAGTTATATTTGATTAAAACGCTTTAATACTAGTTTATACTACATTTGGATGTGAAAATCACTTGGTATTATATATAAGATTAACTACATATGATCTAATTTTAATACCACCAAGAATGGTGGTATTACAATTCAGTCTATGTGTATTACATCATTATTTTATAATTTTACCCTCAATCTAATAAAAATTCATGGGATAATTCCTTTTTAATTATTTTAATAAAAATTAAATAGACATCCAACTTCGTAATAAACAGACCCTTAACATTTTTACAATGACTCGACTTCCCCTCAAATGGACATCCCGTAAAAGATGCACATCATTTATATAGATGACTGAGGGCATTAGTCTACTTATTGTAAATACCTTTAAATAAATTACCTAATCAAATATTATATTGAACTTGATATATATTATCCTATTTTTAAGATCGCATTTAACAAACACTTAACTAAAATTGATGTCATTTTTATTTCTTATTTAATCTTACATTTTATTCATCTATTAAGAACTGTTATATATTCTCTATTAGAATCTCTCTTTTCTTAATTATCACTTCCAAACAACTCCTCGGTGTTCAGACAAAAGCAGCTGATTGTTTCCTTATCATTTTCTGCATCAAAAAGAAGGGAACATTGCACTAGTTGTGTGTCTGAGAGAGAGATTCAAAGCTTTACCAATCTCTGTTCACTTCTAAGTGATAAGGGTTTTCAATATTCTTGCTGTTCTATACAGTTCAATCCAAAGAAACAAAAATGGAGATGATGATGTCGGAGACTTTAATCAATTCTGACCAAAGAAAGTTTGATCTTCCGGTGGACTCTGAACACAAGGCAACAAAATTCAGAATATTCTCAATCGCAGCACCTCATATGAGAGCATTTCACCTCTCTTGGATTTCATTCTTTTCATGTTTCGTTTCCACCTTCGCTGTTTCGCCACTCCTCCCTATAATCCGCGACAACCTCAACCTCACCGCCACCGATATCGGAAACTCCGGAATTTCGGCGGTTTCCGGCGCTGTTCTCGCTCGAATCGCCATGGGAACCGCTTGTGACTTATTTGGTCCTCGTCGCGTCTGCCTCTGTTATTCTCCTCACCACACCCGCCATCTACTGCAGCGCCATAGCCACCACTCCGGCCACCTTCCTCCTAGACCGTTTCTTCACTGGCTTCTCTCTAGCCACTTTCGTTTCAACCCAATTCTGGATGAGCTCCATGTTCTCTGCTCAAGTTGTCGGCACTGCTAACTGTGTCTCCGGCGGCTGGGGAAACCTCGGCGGCGGGGCAACCCAGCTCATCACGCCCCTTGTTTTCTCTCTCATCCGTGACATTGGTGCAACAAAATTCACAGCCCGGAGAATCGCATTCTTCATTCCTGCTCTGTTCCAGACCTTATCGGCATATGCAGTTTTCTTCCTCGAGCAAGACCTGCCAGACGGGAACATTTCCGGGCTCCAAAAATCCGGCTACAAGCAAAAAGATTACTTTTTTTAGGTTCTCCGGCATGCAATCACGAATTACAGAGGCTGGATTTTGACATTGACTTATGGGTATTGTTTTAGGGTTGAATTAACAGTGGACAACATAATTGCACAGTACTTTTATGACAGATTCAATGTGAATCTTCACAGTGCTGGAATTGTTGCAGCCAGTTTTGGAGCGCCGAATGTGCGTGCTAGATTTTGCACAATATAAAAATGAAAATAGATCTTTTTTTTGGTGAGCCAGTTTTGGAGTACCGAATGTGCATGCTAGATCTTGCACAATATAAAAATGAGAACAGATCTCTCTCTTGGTGAACTCGAGCGAGTCAGTTGAGTGATCAACCACGCTGCTTGAAATAACCTGTGAGATCCAGTGGTAACCTGCAACGGTAATGGGAGATCCTCGCGGATCAAAGGAACGATCCAGTAAGGCTGAAGAAAGGTTCCTGGAACAAAGAAAAACAAGTTAGAAGGGCGCCAGAGTGTTTTTCGGCGTATCCCCTCCGACGATCAAGTCAGTTTTTGAGAGAGAGAAAAAAAAAACACTGAGTATAATTTGTAGCAAAAGTTTTTACCCCCTTTTCCTTGTCTTTAGTGAGGAGTATTGATACCTCAAATACTCATGATTGTTGTCAGTGTGATCAGTATGTGATCATTAGATACAGACAACGTGCGCACTGATTCCTATGAGGAATGTCTTCTCTTTTAACTGCTCGGGACCCCGAGCAATCAAGATTGTGTCATCGCCCTGCCGACGGTTCAATGAGCTCCTCTCGGGGAGGATGCAATAAATGCCCAGCCTTAGAGACATTTATTGCCTTTCATTTTCGAGTCTTACCGCATTGAATGCAGTCTCATCAAGAGAATGGTGTAATTAAATACTTGTTTTTCCAAGTCGCGTGTCAGCAAGGTCATGCGGTCTTTCTGTCTCTGATGTGACACAATATGCCACACGTCCATCTCCCATTGGCTGTGGCCCCTGCCTTCCTGTGCCTTCTGACACCAATTGTGTAAGACGATGTCATGATAGCTAACCTAGCCTAGCCTAGGTTAGTGACCAGTGTATCAATAGCCTCTGCTGGAGCAGAGGACTTCATCTTGGATGAGGGGGGTACATCTCGGTACCGAGGAAGAGGTACATCTCGGAGCCGAGGAATAGGTACATCTCGGAGCCGAGGAATAGGTACATCTTGAATCCGAGAGGGGAGACCTAACGACCGATGTATCATATCAGACTGAGGGTACGTGTTGGTACATAAAAACGTACTGGATGCCACTCGATCCCCATGATCAGTAACTCGGGAGGAGAGGGGACTTGTGATCCGATGGGTATGTGATCTCGGTAAAAAAGATTAATGACACCGAAGACACGTGTCTTCATTTCGGAGTATTTCAGAAATGTCCCATCAGCGAATATATTTTCAAGACCTGGAGGTGGGTTTCTCTCAGATGTTGTGGCTAGGAGGTTTGGGATGAGGGGTAGGCTTTGGACCTTGTGGATAGTGCAGACCTTTGGAGGTCTGTTTTGTATTTTGCTGGGGAAAGTGGGAACTTTAAGTGCCTCCATTGCTGTTATGCTTGTGTTCTCTGCGTTTGTTCAGGCGGCTTGTGGCCTTACGTTTGGGGTTGTTCCTTTTGTTTCGCGAAGGTACATTCTCCACAATCCCATATTTTCTGCTTAATTTCACAAAAGTTCCTTTTTTTAGGGCAAATTATAATTTGTACCCTGAAAATTTTTAACCATTAAACATTAAATTTTTATATTACACCTTCAATATATCATGTGACATTTTATTAGTTTTTTTGTCAGTGTTAAAGAATTAATTTTTGACGAAAAAATAATAGAAATTAAAAAAAAAATAATAATAATATTTTTGATACATTAATGTCTAAATTATAAAAAATTTAATCTTTTAACATAAAAAGTGAGAATCAAATGTGCTATGTAGCTGACGTACACATACAATGCATTGGGTTCTGTTTTAGGCAGAGTTGTCTGTCTTGCAGGATGAAATACACCATTTAATGCAGGCAGAGCATATATGGCCAACCCAAGAATGGTGTCTTTAATTAGTTAATGAACTAAAATCCAATCTTATGCATGCAGAGTTTACAAATTCCAAGATACGGCACAATCAATCATCAGTGTTTTTACTGGAGTTCAAGACGTCCATTAAGAACCCCAGAAGTCCCTCACTTTGGAGATCAAAATCTGAGATTAGGGTTAATAATCTAATCGACCGGCTCGAGTTTAATTCCGACTCGGTTCAAATAAGAGTTAATTCTTCTTAGTGCTATAATGAAATACTACAAGAAAACTCCATCTCTTCAAATTTCAGGTTTACAAAGAGTACTTATATATCATTCCTTTCAATGAATTTTGTTCTTCAGGTCATTGGGTGTGGTTTCTGGCATGACAGGAGGTGGTGGAAATGTAGGAGCAGTTCTAACCCAAGTAATTTTCTTCAGAGGTTCAAGATACTCAACAGAGACAGGGATTACTCTGATGGGTGTGATGATGATATGCTGTACAATCCCATTATTTTTTATATACTTCCCACAATGGGGAGGCATGTTTTGTGGTCCATCATCATCTGTGGCCACAACAGAGCAGGACTACTACGTGTCCGAATGGAATTCAACAGAAAAACAGAGAGGTTTTCACCAGGCAAACTTGAAGTTTGCTGAGAATAGCAGAGGTGAGAGAGGGAAGAGGGTGGGCTCTGCCTCCACATCCATACCCTCAGATGAGACTCCACCTACAAATGCCTGACACCAACATCTGCCCTGTATAATTGGTGCAACATGTAATTAGAATTTTTTTTTTTTTTTTTATAGGGTGTTTAGATTTGTGTGAACTACTCGCTGGAGTTTAGCGGTGACTACCATGACATAGACTGGAATAGAGCATGTTTATAAAGAACAAGGATGACTCTCTTTTGAACATGAGATCTTTGAATTATCAAAGTCAGTCTCAATCACTGAACTACTCCTAAGAATTAACAATATCTGTGTAGAAAGGAAATACTATGGTACCAATATTTCGCTTTTCACTACTATTATCGGAAAAGTGAAAAAAAATATTGACATGGTAAGTTCTATCCTAAAAATAATAAGCTCCATCTAAAAGTATAATAAGTGAACCCAGAAGATGGTAGCTCTCATCCAACAAGCTCTCTAACACTAGCTAGCACTAACCTATCTGTCCTCTTCGCTACCTCTTAACAGTAAACTAGTCGCTTAGTTTTCTAACAAAAAAAGTAGCATGACCGCCTCCTAGAGGCTCTCTGGGCATACACGACAAGGGTGAGAGGAGCAAGCCATGCTACGCCCTTTTCACTCGTTTATAGATGTGAGGCTGTGCTATCAAATCCAAATCCTGTCACTACGAGTGGAGGTCTGACCCCTGATAATAATGCTAAAAGGTCAGTGCACTCTTTGATAAGTTCTACCTAAAAAATAATATATATACTTAAAAATTTAATAAATGGTACCGTACAAATTTTTTTTTGTGGTATTATAGTCTCTCGAACACCTGTAGAGATACATAAAAGTTTTTAAATGAATGTGTGTTTCAAAAGGTAAATTTTATCATTTTGAAGTCTTCATGCAGTTGATTTATCATCATAACTGCATAAGAGCAACTCCAATGTGCTCAAGAAAAGTAATTTTTTAGTTATTTTGAAGAGTCAATCTCAAAAATTTCGCTTCAAATTACTCTCTATCTCTCTAGTCATTTTCCTTTCTCCTATTTTCACTCGCTACTTCTGGCGAGCGAGCTCTCTCACTATGTTTTCTTGTGCCAAATTTATGGTTGGTCTTGTTGTGCTGTGATTTCATCGTCTTCGTCAGAGCTTGTCTTCATCCAGTATGAATCTCTCTCTCTATCCAAAATCGATACCCCCCTCCCCTTCCCATGCCTAAAACTATATTGGGTCTCAATCACAACTGAGACCGTGAGAGCTTCGAAATTTGAGACCCTCAAAAACTTCATATGAGAGACAAACGTAGAGATTGAGACAAAGAAGCCGAAGT